GGAAGGGGGATGGTGAACTGTCCGATGCACACCACGGGAACTTGAAGTTGTTCCCCGGTGTTGTTTATCTCCGTGCCACGTTCGGCATTGCTGGAAGAAGCCATGAGTGTTGGGGTTTTTTGGAAAAAAGAGGTTATGAGAGTTTTAGAGGGAGGCTTTTAGAAGCGTTCCCATAGACGGCCAATTGATGGTGCCCAATCCGGCGGGTCCTAGCTGTCAAAGATCTTGCCTCGGGCTAGAGCAGAAGGTGCCTGAAACGAAGGGGAAAGAGAGTAATCTCCGGGGAAGAACCCGGTGAGTATGCTCCGAAACTCAAGTTAGTATTTCCTAAAAGGCAAGATAAACCAGATGGCACAAAGTTCACATACCTTTTCCTTGGGGGGTAGAGAGCCTTTTATAACCACTTCGCGCACTCACTCCTAAGCTTCTGTCAGGTCGGGTATAATTACCTCTGCGCTTCTGCCAGTTCGGGTGTCATCACCTCTGCTGGGGCAGAACCGCCACTGCTCTCTTTGTCGGAGTCGTCTCTGTAACTAGAGATGGCGGTGGCAGGTGGCCGTTGAAGTGCGGCTGTCAAGCGTCAGATCCCAAGTCAGTCAGGTGCGCCGCCCCCGGGATACGGACTCCTTCGGTGTCAGGTACGGTGCGGTTGTTCAGTTCGGCGTCCTAGAGGCGAAGTGCTGGAGTGGTGTGCGAGGTGAAGTCTTGAGTTCGGATAGAGGTTATGGCCCGAACTGCCATGGGGTAGGCCAGTTCGGGTTGTTGCCCTTTGTGTTGGTAAGGCTCGGGGTCTAAGGGAGAGCTCGGGCTCCTTATGGGGAGTTCGGGCTCCTTGTTGGGAGTTCGGACTGCTGGTTCCTCCTTTCGGAACTCGCGCCTTGAGCATGTTGTTGTGCCGAGCTGTTGCCTTTGCCACGTGTTGAGTGATTACGAGGTCGGGCCAAATCTTCCTTCATCAGTTCTAAAGAAGATTGATATCAAATTACCCCTATCTTTAATTATGATAGATTACTGTATTATCATTGTTTTCGGTTATACAAAATCATAGAAGTTTATGAGATGGGAGAATCAATAAAAATCTGAATAAAATAATCATTTAAAAAAGTTGGTATTTGATTTTTTTTTATTAAAAATTATTTATTGATTTTTATATTCCAATATTATATATTAATTAAAGACAGGTGTTAAAAGACGCCCCACGATGGGTGCGACATGAATGGGTAAGATCAGGTTTAGGGTAAATCTAGATTCAACCCGGAGACTATAGGTCCAAGCCCAATCTAGAGCCCAAAACCTCAGGGTTGGGATGGCCATCCCAAATTGCAGCCTTATGCCCCACATTTTCATAAGGGAATTTTATATATATGATTAGGTTTAGATTAACGTTTTAAAAAACGATATGGAAGCGGAACCGTTATGGCCATCGGTTTTTGGGTTTATAGTTTAACCGTCCGGTTCAAGTAGATGACCAGTTCTGACAATAAAATTAAAAAATAAAAAGTAATTAAAAAATAAAAAATGATAAAAAAATGTTGAACAGGTCAATGGGTCGACGGTTTGATCGCCTCGATTAACGATTTATTGACTTTTTCAATAGTTTTTTATCAAATTATGGGATTTGGAGTAAAATGGAACTAATTGCCTGGACGGTTCCCAGGCTGAACGGTCTGACCGTCTGGGTCAACGACGGTTCGAAAACGTTGGTTTAGATCACGATAAAAGGAAAATGTATCGGTTTTGGGTGAATTAAATTAGCCTCATATTTGACGTACGTTTTTTTGTTTTAAAAGATAAAAGAATCATAAATTTCAAAGGATTGAAAAATTGTATAGTAATTTCTTATTGGGTAACTAACGTATGATTCACCTACTAAGGGTATTAGCGCTGTAGTCATGTCAGATGTTGATCAAATTGAATTACATCCGATTTTTTTCCAATCCGATTAAGAAAAACTTGCTGTGTTCGGTTGTTGTACAATTTTATTCCCATTAGGACAAATGGCAAATGAAAAAAATGCAAATTTTAGTTTAATTTTGTATTGAGTTTTATTTTATTTTGCTTCATGTCTTAATTTACTTTAGTTTTATTGCAATCAAACAATTTTATTCGCATTAGTACAAATGGCAAATAAAAAAAATGCAAATTTTAGTTTAATTATATATTGAGTTTTATTTTATTTTGCTTTATGTCTTAATTTACTTCAGTTTTATTGCATTCAAATAAAATAAGATAAAATTTGAAACAAAGATAGGTCAGAAATTACACTCAAATCATTTGCACTGCCATAGTTTTGCATCAATGCACATAAAAACTTATTTGCATTACAACCAAACACAATCTTTAGAACAAAATTTAATTTGTCAGACTTGGTGTATATATATACATATATGATCAAGGATTAGCTGAAGGCTTTAGCTGTTCGGTGGGCTGTGAAACCAATAATAAAGTTTCTGTCAGTATTTAAATATATGGGACCCACATCTTTACCTATAAGCCATATTTGAAAATATCTTATATGTATATGAAGAAATTCAAATTTTTTGCAACTGCCCTCATTCAAATAAAACAATAGGGGGTAAAATAAAGTTTAACTTCTTCAATGAGGTATTTTCAATTTAATGGTTTTAAAAGACCTACGAGGTGAAGTCACATGTGTGCCCCCAATAATCAAAGGTCCTGAATCTGCTACTACACGTGTATATAATTTTAAATCTAGTTGGATATCAATTTGAATTTCTGGCATTGAGATCAGAATTCATCGACATGTAAGGATATGACTGGGATTGGATTTTGGATATTAAGGGCCTCTTTAGTTGAGTGGAATTAGAATCCCATTCTATTCATAGTAGAATGGCATTCTCCATTTGAGTCATGGGAATGAAAAATCCCATTATAGCTGATTCTTATTCTCACCTTAACCAAATGATGAGGGGAATTGATCATTTCAATTCCATTTTCAATTGTGTGCCAAATGGACCCTAAATATCATTTATGAACTAAACCAAATAGTGTTACAATATTATATTAAAAACTAAATAAATTAGTAAAAAACCATTAATTAAATAAATTAATAATGAATTTAATATTTTATACTATAGAACTGTTTTCTGCCAGTTTATCCAATAATCCACTAATTGAGATGGTCTCTCCCTAGGCACTCCCAAAATGGTTGGCACGGACCCTGCATGCAGGATTTCTACGTAAAGCCCCTCATGGACTCGGCTGGGGCGGGTTTCCAAGTCTGGTCCAGCCTGCACCCATCTTAATAAATGATCCTTGGTGCCATGGTCTACTTCTATATAGGGGTGTCAATTGGATGAAATTTGGTCCAATACAATATAGTTTAATGTGAGTCTACTATAAATGGATCAAGTCTAATTCAACTCAATGAATATTTTGGATCATTTTGGACCGGTCCAATTTAATGTCTGGATTGTCCAATATGTTAAAATTCGTTTTGATCTATATTGATTTTAACACAAACCTAATATATTGACACCTATATTTTTATTTTATATCAATGGACCATATATTGGCTTAATCCAACCCAATTCAATATAAATTTATTATGAATGGACTAAGTCCAATCCAATCTAATAAATATTTTGGACCGGATTGGTCTAATCTAATATGTCTTGCCGGACCATCTAATCTATCCAAATTGATTTTGGACATGATGGGGCCCAATCCAAAACTGGTCCATTGACACCCTTACTTCTATATCGACTGGGCCTACATAATTAGAAAACTCAATATAAAAAAGCCTAACCCTGAGTGGGCTGATTTGATCATTCTTCGGCCGAAAACCATATTACCCTCTTCAATAGTGGCAATGTTTATTGTTTACTAATGGCTCTGTTTGAAAAAAAGTGTATAAATACAAAAACATTTAGTACAAATACATATAAAATAATATAAAATACAAGGTTCCACACTCTAGATATTTTATATTTGTCGTCCTTCCAAACTGAGCCTACATATATGTTGATGTAGGGATGCAAATAGATCGGATCAGATTCGAATCTGATCCATTATGAAGATCCGATCAGATTTGATAAGACTCAATTTGAATTCAAGTCCTATCGGTAAGTTGGATATTCAGATCAAATTCAATCTGACTTGTTTTTTTTTTAAATAATAAATTATTAAAAAAATACTAATTTAAATAAAGTAAAAACAAAAATACAAGTATTTTTTAATTATTTTCATCATATATATATATTTTTATAAAAAAACAATATAACAAATTTATAAAATATAATATAAAAAATATATTTATAAATAAATAAATAACATATATATATTACATATATTTATATTTACAAATATATAATATATATCAGATTGGATAATCAGATCCGATCCGAAGAGTGATCTGCATTCGACCAAATAGGATCAGATGATCCGATCCATTTGCACCCTATGTTGATGGGTTATAATTTGGACCGTACTTTGACAAGAAAAAACAAAAAATCCAGGAAAAAAAGGAATTTGAATTCGAGCACCTCTCCCGTTGAATCTGTTAATTTTGTCCAACCATGCAAATAATATCTCAGCAGTCAGCACTGTTATGAAGACCACTAGACGCAGCTATCCTAGAACCCGTCAAATGACTAACGACGAGCTAATGCAACCTTTGCGTGCTTCGCCGCATAGACACGGTGGCGTCCATATATAAATATAAATCTTGGAAAAATGCTCTATGACCATGTGTGCTCTCAGTATTTTTGGTAAGTCCGTGTTAATCAGTTCATTTTTGAAATAAGAATTAACTAAAAGGGTATATCCGTCAATTCAAATCGTTAATCCGCGTCGCGGGAAAGGAAAATTATTATCACTTTCTTTTACTACTTTTCTTCCAAATCATTCAATCAAGTGGAATCATAAACGTAATACCCAATCAAGTGTTATTTTTCTGCATCATAATTTTCCCTATTTTTTCAATATTATATTCTAAATGGAAAATTGTGAAGGGAGACAAAATCGAGGGTTCTCTCAAAATCAAAAGTATAAATATGGCTTTGACTCTCTTGCTCCATTCAACAACCACTTTCCCCCCTCTCCCTCTATCTGTTGCTGCTGTTCCGTGATTTCTCGCAGGAAAAAATGGAGATTTGTCTATGGTTACTGGTGGCTTTGTCTCTGTTGCAGGCAAGGGATTCATGACTCTTATTTCTCGTCTCACTGTTTCAACTTTACTTTTCGGCTTTGTTCCGAGAATTTCTCGTAATGATCATAGACAGTTAGAATGTCGAGATTCGAGGATAATCTGGAATTCGTAGATCACCAGTTTCCTTCTTGTTTCATTTTTTTTTTCTCGATTACTCTATACTTGAAGTTTGTTCTGTTTCCTTAGTTGGCTTGAAGCATTAGCTCTACGTTTTTAGTCGGCAATGAAATTTCAGTTGTTGAATCAGGCTTGTAGTTTTCATTGCTTTTGCATATTTAATTTAAACAGTTCATTCAAGTTTGTGCAGATAAGTTTTATATTTGTTTGTTTTTATTTTCTTGATTTTTCGTTATAAGTGTCTTTAGTTACCCGAGGTTACATAGCTTTAGTTGAATTATGGAATAGCTTCTCAGCTATATGATGAACGTAAGAATTGTAGTGCTTCCTTTTACAGGCTCTATGCATGATTTGAATATGGTTTTTTCATCCACTTTAAGTAATTACATAATTCATACACTACTCTAATGTTAGTCATATTTATGCAGAGCACAATTGTATCTTTAGCAAGTGCAGATACTTATGACCCACGGTTTTTTTTGGTGTCTAATATCAGTTTAAGGTGAGGCTATTGCTATCATAATTTTCATATTTATGCCAAATGAGTTCCCCAAATATGACCCTTTTATTATGAAAGAAACATGAAATCACTTAATAGCCTTGTAATCTTTTTATAGATGCTATTTATTATAGGGATTCTAAACATTTTCATGTTAGTAAGAAGAAAGCTTCTATATTTGTTGATTAGTAGATCAAGATAGTTAGCCCGTTTAATGTATCCAAGTTGGTTTGCCATTCTTGATTGCCTAAAGTGTTAGAACTGTTCATGCTTTCTTAATTGATTAGTCACTATGCCTTTCTTTTTTGTTCAGGGAAAGACACTCAGAAGAGTATTGTGCAATGTATGATATTTGTGGAGAACGTAGTGATGGGAAGGTCTTGAACTGTCCTTATGGTTCCCCATCGGTGAAGGTATTTATTAGCAGAATTATTTACTTGCTTGTATAGCTAAAATGTACTGAGATACATTGTGGCTCTTATTTCAAATTTTATTTCTAAAACATAGCATGCAGATTGATAATAAGCAATAAGACAATGGTATTAGTATGACACTAGATTTATGCATTTTCTTTTCTCAGTGCATTGCATATTAACCTTTCCATGCACTTTACCTTTTACTTGTCTTTTATCTCAATTTTATTAGCTTCTTTCTGTTATAACTGGTAGGATAATATAAGTATTGTAGCTATCGGATATTTTGTTCATTCTTTTTTCCCCTGTTTCCAGCCAGATGAGCTGCTTTCTTCAAAGATCCAAAGCTTGTGTCCAACAATCACTGGTAATGTTTGTTGTACAGAAGTTCAGTTTGACACATTGCGGGCCCAAGTCCAACAAGTAAGATTTACACCAAGGTGGACTTTAATAGTATTTATTGTGCAGTTTCTTTTCTATTGATGTTCTTTCTTAGGATTGTACAAAGTCCTACTGTTATGGATGAGTGTTTTAGTGCTTTCTTTTCTTTCTTCTTCCCATGCAAATGCATAGTTTTTAAGTATCATTAATTGTTCGGGAAAATTCTTAGACTTGCATTATCTGTTATAAAAATATATTCTATCCTTGTATTCCGAATCGAAGTTTGAAAAAATCTACAAGTAAATATGCACTTTTACACCATTTGTATTGTATGTGATTCCCATCTGTGTTTTCCATCAAATTGTAAGTCCTTAAATTATTTTTACTTACCACTTGGGATCAATTTTCTTTGGTCTTCTCCTTTCTCTCTTAGAGCCTTCTCATTAGTGCAGCCATTTGTTCTCTACATACATGAGAAAACCATTTCAGTTAATTGTCTTGGTACTTCTTAGTTGTTTCATATTTTTTTGTCATTTCTGAATTATTTCATCTTTGTATTGCCCATTTCATTGAACTCCAGACTTACAATTAATAATACTAACCAACTGTGAAGTCCTATTTTCTGTACTTCTGTGTAATGATTCTTTCTATATATCTCCCTTAATTTATGTAATTGTTGCAGGCGATTCCTTTTCTTGTAGGTTGCCCAGCATGCTTGAGGAACTTCTTAAACCTTTTCTGTGAACTTTCCTGCTCACCTAACCAGAGTTTATTCATCAATGTGACATCTGTTTCCAAGGTAAGAAATTGCCACTAGTGTGATATTACTCTTGTCTGTGACAACCAACAATTGCTTCTTTATGCCTTTGAAGTGGAACCATTGTTTTCCATGTAACTATATTTGCTTAGAAGAGCAATGAATCTTATATCTTTTTCTGAATTAGGTTAATGACAGTTTGACCGTGGATGGCATTGATTTTTATGTAACTGATGCTTTTGGTGAAGAGATGTATAACTCTTGCAAGGATGTAAAATTTGGGACAATGAATAGTCGAGCCATGGACTTCATTGGTGCAGGTGCTCAAAATTTTAAAGGTGAGGATATTTATGATGTTACATCCAAAAGATTATCTTTCCCATGTTTCATTCATATCATATCATCTTCAATTACTTTTTTTTTCTTGAATGAAAAGAATAAGATGTAGGGGATACCACACAAGGCTGACCTTCCATTAAAACCCAAGCCACAATTACAATAGATAGAAAAAAGGGGTCTAGATTGGCTGGAGACAAGGTTGTGCACACTGGGCTGGGCTACCTATCACAAGTGAACACACCAGTGTTCCATATGCATAAGGTGTGGGTTCCATGTGGGCCCCATGTGTACGGAAGACTGGCATGTTCACTTGTGATAGGTAGCCCAACACAGTGTTCACAGTTTTGTCTCCAGCCCATCGGTTCCCACTTCCCAGCAAAAGGTCCTAGCTCCAGAAAACTCCTGTATGCTATCATCACTGGGTACTAAAGGGTAGAGTTACAGGCGTGGCAGTGAATGCTATTGTCAGTTGATGGTTGTCAGTGGCAAGTATTGGATTTGTGTCTCTTTTCTGAAGGGTAGTGAAACTCAACTTTGATGAGTAACTTGGGGCCATAGGGTGTGAGAAGGTCAAATGATAACATTATCCTTCTAGTTTATTCCCAGCCTATTGGGAACAAGGATTCTACTAGAACAGATCTCCATGACTTCAGAAAGTTGAGGTGGAGGGATACTAATGGTTCTAATTGACTCCTGGAAATGGGATGCATATTGGAGAAGTTAGAGCCTGGGTATGCAATGGTCAGGTAACTTATTGGTAGCCATGCTGGAAAGTTCAGATGGTTTTGTGATGCATGTAATCTTTTTTTCTTGATAATAAAGAAAAAACAGAAGGACATACAGGATCAGGTGATAAAACATCATCAACAAGGAGGTAGACCATACCACTGCAAATCAGGGGGCTTTTCGACCCTACAACTTTCAGGTGGCCTAAGAGAAGAGGTAGAGCTCTATGGAGATGTGTTAGGGCTGCTTTAGTATGGACAGTTTGGGAAGAAAGAAATAACAAGATTTTTAATGATAAAGAAAGGGGTGTAGCTATTGTTTGGGAATGCCTGCTAATAAGCGCTATTAGCTGGGCCAAAACTTTGGATTTGTTTTCACTTTTCTCCTTTGTTGACATACAGAGAAACTATGAATCTGTTGCAAACTCTTCTTCAGTTAAGGACAAACCTGTAGTAGACTGGAAACCCCCAGAAGAAGGCTTTGTAAAGCTCAACTTTGATGGCAGCAGCCTTGGCAATCCTGGACCTTCTGGTATTGGGGGCATGATAGGAATGAAGAGGGACAGATTGTTCCCTTATACTTTGGCCCAAATGGAGTGGGGGATGCGGTTAGTGCAGAGATGCAAGCTGCTATACAGGGTGCACAAATTGCTAAAGAGTTGAACTTTGGGAGGTTGATCATTGGAGGTGACTCTAAAGTGGTAACTGGGTGGCTAAAAGAACCAGACAGTAGCTTGGTCTTTTAGGGGAAAGATAAGGAGATTCAAGTGGCTTACTTCTAAGGTTCTAATCTCACAGTGAGAGTTCAGTGGGAGAGGAGATCGGCAAATGGGCTGGCAGACCTACTTGCTAAGCAAGGGGTGAACAGGGATCACTTATTCTGGGCTCAATTGTAATTTTACTTCGTTTTGTAAGGCAGCAACTTGTGCCTTCTGGGAGAACTCTGGCTTGTATCCACTTGTCGTTTTATTTATTCATCCTAATAAAATTCTTCATGATTCATAAAAAAAAAAGATGCCTTGTGTTTCAAGCAAGCTACACATTTCTCATGTTACTAAAGTCTTCTTCTGGATGAAGCTTGGTTTGGTTGGGGCAGGTCCCACAAAAAATTTCAAGAAAGTATAAGAGAAAAGTGGTGAAGACAAAAGCATCGATTCCAAAGAGTTCTGGTGGGGGAGAGCCTCTTGTCCCAATCAGGTTGGATGCTCAGTGAACATGCCTCAAGAGAAGAAGAGTGGGGATGGGGATGAAGTTGCTGTGAGAGTGTTTGATAGGATTTCAGAAGAAAAAATGGACAAGGAAGGTTGTTTGGCTCTTGAGAAAATTGTTGAGAAAAATGTAGAGGTTGGCAAAAGTCTTGCTCTTTTTTCCTGGTGGTGAGGTGTTTGCTAGAATAGCCTTCAACTTCAAGGAGTTTGAGAGGAGGGAATAGAGTTTGAAAAAAGCTATAGTGGGGGAAGGAGGAGAGGTCTCAAATGAGGCCGAAGCTGGGCAGGAGGAAGTGTTCGAGGGGGAGGATTAGAGGTGGCTCGTGCAAGCTGTTTCTCTGTTTTGTTCTGATGGAGGTTGTTGGTAATTCTTAGATTTGGGGGTCAGGGGGTGGGTGTGTTGGTGGCTGAATGTTTTGAGGGATGTCTTTGCAGTTAGTTTGGTTAAGACTCTTGTTGTTAGTTGTGTCTCAGGTGGTTTTCCCCTTTCTTGTGGGTGGTAGCTTATCACCTTTCTTTTTGTGTTCTCTTTTTTATTTTAATGAATTTATTTTTATTGTAAAAAACAAGGTATTTATAGCCTTAAATGTTCATTGTTGAGGTTGAGGGAATTATGGAACTCAAAAGTCATTGACATATTATTAAAAACTCAAGTCTTTGTTTAATTCTGTTCTTATGTGTCTAATCTAATAGATTCCTTTTTCTATTCTGTTGCACAAACTAATGTTATTTAATCATAACTACAGTGCTTTTTCTATAGGTTCTAAATCATTTAGTTTCTGATTATTATTTTGCAGAATGGTTTGAATTTATTGGTCGTCAAGCAGATCTTGATGTCCCTGGTTCACCATATGCCATTAATTTCCGGTCAAGTATCTCTGATTCCTCTGGGATGAAACCTATGAATGTATCTGTCTATTCATGCGGTGACACTTTGCTTGGTTGTTCTTGTGGTGATTGCCCTTCTTCTCCCACATGCTCCAGTTCACCACCCCCTCCTCCTCCCAAAAGATATACCTGTTCAATTAGTATCTGGCCTTTAAAGGTGAGGAGGAATGCTATATAGGATGGTTGCTTTTGATTCCTGTGGTTTTTTGGGCTTGTTTGCGATCTTAGGATCTCAATTTCTTTAGGGTGCATTTACTACATCATGTCCTACAATGTTAAAGACTGAGTGGTATCTTGGAATATTCCTATTTGGTAGTAGTTTCTGTGAGTTTGGCCTCTCCAACTTGGTTACATCTTTTGATGATTGCAGGTTAGATGTATCGAATTTGCAATGTCTATCCTATATATTATTTTGGTTTCTGCTTTCCTTGGATGGAGCTTGTTTCATAGGACAAGAGGAAGAAGGAGACTTGCTTCCAGATTGAAACCTTTGTTGAATGTCATGGATGAAAGTGAACTCCATTTTCTTAACAAGCAGAAAGATGAGAACCTTACTTTACAGGTGTTTTCCAAAACACTGATGTGTAATTGCATTCTTTCATTTTGACATGATTTCCTAGTACTTGGATCCTTTTTCTTTTGCTCTTCTAATTTTCTTTTTCTTAGGTCCTTGAGATTGATCTTCTCTTTGCCCAATGGTAGTGTAGTAAATTTGATTGAATTTGGAGTTTTAAATTTATAGCCCCTTTCCATCTTTTCTCTCTCTCTCTCTCTCAAAAACGAAAAAATAGCCCCTTTTCATGTTTGGAATTTTTCTATGTTACAGAAATATAGGGCTGTTAATGGGTCGGGCCTGGGTAGAACCGGAACCGATCCAACAAGAAATATTAAGGACTCGGAACCGAACCAGGCCTGATAGGGTCTCTAAATTGTATATTATATAATTTATTAATAGACCTACTGAAATTATATTATATATATTAATTTATTAATATATTATATTTAATATATATTAATATATTATATACTTTAAATATACATTATATATAATATGTAGCTCAGGTCGGGTCTAAGCCGGTTCAGGACTGGGTAGAACCGGTTTCGAACCGATTGTAATAGACCTACTGAAAATTATATATATTATATATTAATTTATTAATATATTATATACATTAGTTATATATTATATTTAATATATATTAATATTATATACATTAAATATATGTTATATATTATAAATATTATATATAGTATTTATAATATATAGCTCGGGTTGGGTCTAAGTCGGTTCAGGACTGGATAGAACCGGTTTCGAACTGGTAATAGTTGGGACAATATTCCAGGAACCGGAACCGACCCATCCATTCCAGTTCCTGGAACCAGAACTGATCCAATTGGTTTGGGTCCATCGTGTCGGACCCAACCCGGCCCATTGACAACCCTAGAGAAATATTGGCACAAGGAGATGGGCATATTTTGGGGATCTATCGCAAAATTGCTTTATATAAAAAATGGCTGTTACAACGTTGGTCCCAGCTATCTGGTGTCTTGGGGGGGGGGTGGACTGGTTATGGACCTAACTTTTGGCATTTTCTTTTATACAAAATGGTTGCTTTCAGACTTGAACCTCCACTATCATGCTTGTCAGTCTGAGATTTTATCATTACACCAAGCAATGGCCCCTTTTCCAACCATTGCTTTAAATATTGCACTATATTATTTTTTGATGGAAATGAAAAATGTTGTAAATATATAGATGTAAAGTTGTACTGAAGGGCATATAGCCAAAAAGAAACTTTATTGTATAGTTTGTTAGGCCTGGTTTGTTTCCAATGCAATTTTATTTGTAGTAGTGTGAAAGTATGGGAGTGCAAATGATATGAGTGCAAAATCTGATTTATTCTTGTTTCAGATTTTGCCTTATTCTGTTGTTGTATTGCAGATGAAGTAAAGTAAATCCTGATGAAAAGTAAAGTTAAATCCCAGGCAAAAGTGTGCCAGAACTTTCTTTCTTCTTATTTGCACTCTCATGCATTGGTACTTGTCAGATGAAATTGCACTGCAAACAAATGAAGACTTGCACCCAAAATGGCTTGCCAGTGTGTAAAGATTGTACAGTGAACTTTTTTTTTCACTACCTGATCCCTTTCTTCCAAGATCTTGTTTCCTTTTGCTAGCTATAGTGCTTTTCATAATTTTTACCTTTTGTATGATGATTGATGATATGTATATTTTTTTCAGATGCATGAAGAGGTTCCTCAAACGGTAAATGGTGATCAACTTTCTATTGTGCAAGGATACATATCGAGTTGGTATAGGTCAGTTTATGGCATCTCTTCTACAGTACTTCTGTTTATAAGAGGAGCTTACTATTATTATTATTATTATTATCATTATTACTATTACTATTATTATTATTATCATTATTACTATTACGATATTATTATTTTTATAATGTTGTTCATTGCATTTATTTTCTACATTCAGGAGATATGGATCATGGGTTGCTAGAAACCCAACTCTTGTTTTATGTTCATCGTTGGTTGTTGTTCTTCTACTCTGCCTAGGTTTAATCCATTTCAAGGTGGAGACACGACCTGAGAAGGTAAAAATAGGTTTTTGGTGAGATTATGTTTTTAGTTTTTATATCCAAATCCAACCATGTGACAACCTTCCATATCATATTCTTGCTAATTCCCCTTATCTGTGTACAATACATTGCCAATCGTGTTGTTATTTTCTGTATTATGAATCTACATTTCAGTACCCTATGAAATGCATTTAAGGACCAGCCAAGTACACCCCCAAATTTGTGATCAAGAATGGGATATCTCTTCAAGCTGTTTGGAACGACATATATAGGGATTAGGGAACAAATGTTCTGGGTTAGGATAATCAGTTAATAATAGTACTCTATGGAGAAAAGTAGAGAGAACTTGATCTTTGTTCAAATTGCATTTACAAAACAAAGGTGTTGCTCCCATTTTATAGCCTAAAAGTACAAGGAAACCAACTTAGACTAGAGCTTCAGCTAGGACTTGTATTTAGATCATAAATCCTACCAATGTAAAGAAACCATAAATTACTAAAAATAGTAAGTTTGTGATTTACTATAAATACTAATTATGGACATTACTACTTGTAGTAAGTCTGGATGTTACTATAAATAGTACTTTTGTTTTTACTAAGAATAGTAAATTTCTAGAAAGCTTAACTGTGGCCATCTTGCACTCCTATTATCATTTGAACTCCCAAAATACCCTTACAATGGTTCTTTAAATTAAACTTTAAAGAAAAAAAGACATATCTAAATGCTTTTCCCCTTCTTCCTGAGTTGCCGATAAAAAAAAAAAATCTAAATGCTTTCCCAACTCAACAAAAACTCTAGCATTATTCACATGGGCAAGTCTAACTGTAGGATCCACCGGTGAAATGGTTGACTTTGATTGTTGACTAATTTGTAGACTTAAGAAACAACTCCAAAGCTGCTTCAAGAAAACACCCTTCTGCTCATTTGTTTTGGCTGAAACTTGGCGAGTATCTAGTACTATAAAGACTACTGATGAAATTTGGCTTTAATCCACCAAGTAGCTTCTAAGATATGGCTTGATTGCTTGGGGCTGTTGTTTTGGAATTTGAATTGTTGGACAATCATCTCTGCCACTGTTTCTTGTTTCTATGTCTGCATCAGAAAACAATTGGCTTGCTGCACTAATAACACCTACTGATCTAAAGTTGTGATGTTTTGATATGCACATTCTTATTGATATCCCATTCAGGGTGATATTTTCTAGGTACTCATCCTTATTTATTATCATTTGAGAAACCATAGTAATCTGATCATTCTATCTTCATGTTCATAATATTTTCACATATAATGGCAGCTATGGGTTGGTCCTGGAAGTAGAGCTGCAGAAGAGAAGTACTTTTTTGACAGCCACCTAGCCCCCTTTTATAGAATTGAACAGGTATTTTTCATTGTTACCACCTAATATGATTCTTGTTGCCATCAAATCTAGTGTTGTAAGCTGGTTTTAGCTAAGGTCAGCCTGCCATACTTGTCTTGGGATGGCCTATGAATGAAATCAATACAGGCTGGCTAAACTCGTATCGTTGCTATGATGTGAAATGACAACAATGGTGCCATAGACCACTATATGTTGTTATTTTCCCAAACCAGAAACTCTGTTGAAAGAATATTAAATTAGCTTTTTAAAATTTTTCTATTACTCATCAAGAAAATATTAAATTAGCTTTTCAATGGCAATATAAGGTCTGTTCTTATTTCCGAGGGTTTGCAATTGATAAGGGAAATGGTGTAATATCATAAGGAACATATGTTTTACTACTAAATGGTTCTTCTTTTTCAGCTTATATTAGCAACTATTCCTGATCCAAAGAATGGGAAGTCACCAAGTATTGTGACAGAAGATAACATTCAGCTACTCTTTGAAATACAAAAGAAGGTATGTGAGTGATTTTTTGTTACTTTTCAACTGTTTCTTGATCAACAAGATTACAAGAAGATATTTCTTTAATATAGGAGATAAACTGTACAAGTAAAAGGGAAAAAGATAGCCTCTAGCCTTTTTTTGGGTATATTACCTTACTGTACATGAGAACATCCTATACATACTGCCCTGCACACCTTCTTTGTCAGAAAAAAAAGGATATCCACTAGGTATATAAAAGCAATTTATGTTCAAAATCAAAATAGGATTGTTTGGTAATTCTCCCAAAATAAGATTGATAAAAAAATTCTCCCAAAATAAGTGTTTTAATCCCTCTCAAAATCCACCCTATTTGTAGCAGCAAACCCTTTTAAAACTAAGGACCAGTATATCAACATTGGACAATAATCACACAGATCAATGGAAAGGACGAGATATATTTTAAAGATTGTTTTATTTGTTTCACCCCAAATCTTCCAAAAATTTTCAATTGGAACTATTATCTCACAAGATATGGCCCTCAAAACCAAATAGGACAAAAGGCCTTGCCAGTTGCACCTCATCCCTCCTCCCCAATTCATGATGTCATTACTTTGCAGACTTCTATTTTAATGGGTTCTAGGGGAACTTCTGTTTGAGCCATGATTCCTCCTTTTGCTGTTTGTAGGATCATTCTGGAAAGAAATCGAACTATAGATTTTTTTTTTTTGCAGGAGAGGAGAGGTCTTTGGTTTATGTTTTTGCAGATACTAGTAGCCTCCTCATGGATTTTAGCCCTTAAAGCCTTTGGCTCTTTTGTCAGGATGAGTTTTAGTTTAGTTGGAATTTCCAGTATTTGAACATAAAGACACTAAATCACGCAATCTTTGAGACCGTTGGCAAAGCTTTCTGAGCCTGCATCAATTATCAACTTTTGAACCGATTTCCATATCCAGTTTAACTGCAATATGTTGTCTTTCTGTGCTCCCCCCCTCCAAAAAAAAAGCTGAGATCTGTTGATCTCTTGTCTTGATAAATCATTATCCAAACAATTGGCTAACATGTGGGTCCAGGTACATTTACAAATTCTTCCCCCTCCTAGAACCTGTATTTCTGTCATAGCATTCTGATGCTACCATTGTTACTGCTCTACTATTACCCTTTTGCCACTTGCCAGCCAATCAGCTACTTTTCAATACCTTTCTTGGAAGAGTTCTTTAACCTTCATTATATATATCTACAACCACTTATGAGAAGAGCATTTCTGAAACTGGGGTCCCCAATGTTTTGGCATACAAACATGCTTCATCTTGATTGAGTGAAACCCCTTTTTTATTTATTTATTTATTTTTTAATTTTTTCTGTTCCCTTTCCAGAAGGATATCTTCTTATTCTTCTTCTTGTCCTGGAGTTCTCAACGATGAACGAAGTAATTCAAATCCCTTGCTAGTTGCTAATATGTTTTTTTTTTTTATTTTTTTTATGGTATTTACCAGCAAACTCTGTATCAACTGTCACCTTGGCATAAGATTCAAATATGTTTCCACTGTTACTTCCTGCTACTTAAATGTTATATTTACCATGCCAAGAATCTTTTCATTCATTCCCACAACTTGACAGGTTGATGGAATTCGTGCAAATTATTCTGGATCAATTGTAGCCCTATCTGACATATGCTTGAAGCCACTCGATCAGGAGTGTGCTACTCAAAGTGTCCTGCAGGTATCACTCTTCCATTCTTCTCAAGTCATTTTCTATCTGGTCTGAATGCCAGTGGAAAGTTTATATCTTGCAGTATAAAATATGTGAGTCATGCTTTTTTTTTGAGGTGCTATAGGTGATATTGATATTGTCATGTAATTAATTTTTGGCATTAGTTTTGTATGTATGAGGTTTAACAATTTAATGTCTTCTATTCCACACTTGAGGTTAGAATAGGCTCTCAGGTTTTATGCTACCTCTGAACTTGTAGGAAGGGAAAAAGGGGGGGAGATAGAGAGAGAAGATACTAATTTTCTGTTCTTTAGTTAGACCTGTGGAACCAACGAACTTCAGTGATTGATCAGACTTTTAATATTTTCTGTTGTTTAATTAGACGTGTGGAACCAATGAACATCAGTGACTGGTCATACTTGATGCCCATTGTTGGGACAACATGGCTATTTTGAATTTATCAAGCTCTGGTTAGAGGTTCTCTCTTTGCAACCAGAAAGTCATGAATTCATTTTGTGGTCTGCTTGATTTATGTGGTTGATACATATGGATCTTTAGAGGATGTGTTGTTTTGCATGAACTATATCTTACTATAGTCAATGTGATTCGTTGTTTTGGCCTGCATTGGCAGAAGTCAATCAGTTGGTGCCTAGGTAAATGGCTAAAATATTTATCAACTATATGGTGCAAGTCTTAAGTGAGTTATCAGTGGACAGGGTGATGCTAAGGCCTAATTGATCCATTGGTTGATGCTTTTGAAACCCTGCCATTAATTATTTTTTATATATTTTGTCTGGCTCATCCTAATTCTACTGCTGCAGGTATTCTGTCTCTTGTTTAGATCTTTTGGGTAATCTAGCATTTGGTTCTCACAAATGCCAGTCAAGCGAAAGAACATTTTAAGTTGCTTAAGCAAGAAAACTATCCCCCTAAGCTGCATATATTCCAAAAGGCTTAGATAAAACAAAACAGACAACTGATAAATAAAAAAGAAAGAAACCATCTCTATAACCTCAAAGTGACAAATGATACCCCGGCCCAACTACTTGTATAACTTGTGCAGCTTCAAATACAACATCCAACTGAAGAGAAGATACAATTCCAGAAATAGACCGATAAAAGAAAGCCTGAAAAAGCAAAGTTCAACTAGAATCCAAGATGCCCCATGGCCTTTTCTTTCCAAACATTTTCCCTTTGTTACATCTCCTAATTTGTTTTCTTGGAGTCCCTGTCAGTTCCTAGTTCATTCATTTTGGGGCTAATCTATGATAAACACTGCTGATATTGTTTAGGATGGATCTCATTATCTTTCATTTTCTTTGCTTTGTTATTTCTACTGTCTGGAATCCTTCATGTAGCTTCTGATATCTTTATTTGTTTAATTTCTGTATTTGTTCCTATTAATCAAGATACATTTTTTTTCCTTAAAAAGATCGGTTAAAATCCAATTTTGAGTAAAGATGATAAATGGAAGCATATTATTGAGGTCTTCTAATTATTTTTTTTCCCTCTTCTTGGTTTAGTCATGTTATTCATCCATTCCTTATGCCGTCTCCATGTGTGTGAATTGTGAAATGGGATTTTATATGTGCTGATTTGTACTCTAAATGTTTGTTGCCATGGTTACTCTATACTGGCTCAATGTTATCTTTCTCTAAGAGTACATAGTTCTATGGCTTCATCAAGTTAGAATATTCAATTCTTACAACTGCTGTTATACATGCTTGTGGAATCATTCAGCTATTCTGAAAGATCAATGCTGTTTTCCCTTAACAGTATTTCAAAATGGACCCTGAAAAATATGATGATTATGGGGGAGTTGATCACGTTGAGTATTGCCTTCAGGTAAATTTTGAATATATCTTTATAGCTACCAGTGTTTTATATAATTTGTTTTGCATTTTTTTGAGAGAAGGTATAATCTTATTCTATTAAAAAACATCATGTACAGCAAGATGATCTACACATGGACTAGACAAAATCTGCCCTTGCGGCACTATACCCCCAACCTTTGCTTTACAAAAAGATTCTCATGTACAAAAAAGGAGTTATAACCTATATTGTTGAACAGCTTATGATAACCAAGCCAAGAAAGCATTTTTCCTTAGATTTTCTGATAAACAGACCGTAAACTGTCCTTGTTTTTGAATATTCTTGAGTTTCTTTCCTGCCATATACACCAAAAAACTACCACTGGAGTCATATTTGAGACCAATTCTCCCCTTTTACTCAGTCCTACTACCCGCCAACCTTTTACAAAATCTGCTATAGACTCTAGGCAGCATGTCACGGAGTGCAAAGGTGAGACCATTGTGACCTGACCCATCAGGAAAGATATCTAATGGAAGAGGTTTAGTGAGCACTCTAGATGCTTTCAGAAGCCCCATGAGTATTCTAGAAGATTTATGAAGATCTTTGTGCATTATAGATATTTGTACATAATTCTAGAACATTCTTGTAGAGAACTCTAGAAGATATCTAGAAGAATCCTAACTGTTGGATGTATGACATTTGTAAAAATCTAGACTATTCATTGTAAGGCCCAAAGTCTATATAAGGTGGAGCCCCTCATTTGGTGGGGGACATCCAAGAGTTGTAATTTCCCTTCTTGAGCAATACAAAGAGTTCTTTGAGTTCTCATTCTCTTACCTTGTGTGTGTGCTTATCCCTAAGTTGCCTAAGAGTGTGGGTTGAGTTGGTGAGCTACTTGTTCCTAGAGCCAGGATGGTGCTCTAAGCAGGGAAGGTTGACTTGTGGAGTGAATGACTGCTGCCCAAGTGCTGCTTGGGATGCTAGAGGAGTCTATGTTTGTGACAAGCAGCTTTTGATTTCAAATAACTCTGATATTCTCGACCATATTCCATAAGAAAATCTGCAATGCAGCAGAAGATGGTTCACCGATTCCAAGTGTCCTTCGCACTATACACAATCAACTGAGTTGAACAACATACCCTTCTGCACGAGGTTGTCCCTGGTAAGAATTTTGTTTAGGTAAGCAGTCCATATGAAAAAAAAAAAGCAATTCTTGAGGGTACATTCTTGCCCCAGATGATGTTGGCTGGGACTGTCTGCTCCTCTGCTTGTCATAATTACAAAACATACTGTATGCAAGATTAAGAATGTTAACTCTTTAACTTCAACCTACTGACCCTTCTTTTCAGGTAGGTTATGTTGACAATGATTCAGTCACTGCTAGTGGACCCCCATAACTAACAAATTATAACAAATTAATATAACAAAAATAACTTTTTTTTTGATCAATAACAATTTCATTAAATTTCATGGAAACAACATAAGAATAATTACAACAAGGAAGACAAACACTCTTATCTTCTAAATACAACTTAAGCCCTCAAGAAAAGAAAAGGAAAGGAAAGGAAAGGAAGGAACAATTAAATTACAACTTGGCCCAAAACATTGATTCCCTCTCTACCCCGTGTTTAGCTAATCCATCTGCTACAGAATTAGTTGATCTTTTAACCCAACTCATCTTAACTTCCATCTCCCGCACCAGCCACTTAAATTTCCTTCTCTCATTGCTGTAATTCCATAAACCACTGCTGTCTTTATTCAGCCACCCTGTCACCACCTCCGAGTCCCCTTCAATTATGAGTTTTCTGGTATTCATCTCCTTAGCTTTCTGGACTCCTTCCATAACTGCCAAGATCTCAGCTCTAAGGGAGTCACCCACTCCAATTGGGCCTGAGAATAGGGCAGAAATGATCCCATTCTCATCCCTAAAAACACCCCCAATCCCTGATTGTCCAGGATTCCCCTTACTACTCCCATCAAAGTTTAATTTTAAGAAACCAGCAGGTGGGGGGGGGGGGGTACACACTCATTACTGTTTTGGT